GCCGATGGCGAGCGGTGCGATGATAAAAAGTGGCCGTGGGCATCATATCAAATAATTCTGCAGAACATAACCCATTATACAAGCGGTAGAACACGCACAAGGAGGCAAAATCTCTCCTTAGACTTAAGTGCTCGATACCGCTCGTAAGTATAGGATCGTCAACAAGTCTGACAGCTCTCCTTTGGACCGCGTCAAAAGGTCCAAGCTGGTATGCTGGCGCTCCTGCCCAGAGATGAGAGCAGTACTCCATATGGGGGCGAACTTGCGATTTATATAAAAGCAGTCTTTGTCCCGGCGTGAAGTACCGCTTCGCTCTGTTCAGTACACCGAGTTTTTTAGATGCCAGCTTGGCCTTATCTTCTAAGTGACTACGGAACTGGACGTCACTAGATATGTCGACACCAAGGATACCTATACTTTTGGAGATGTTAAGGGTAGTGTCTTGGAATTTAGGGGCCACAACGAATGGGGTTTTTTTAGCGGTAAACGCACAAACTTGTGTCTTGGAGGGGTTGAACCGGACCATATGGTCCCGACCCCAATCGGAGACTCGGCATAAGGTACTCTCGATTTGAGACACAAGTTTTACGCGGCTTTCTTCCACAACGGAACGAGGGATGTTTGCACGGCCCGTGTAAAATGCGTCCCCGGTGCTATCATCAGCATAACAATGAATACCCTCAACAGACAGCAAATCATTGATATGCAGAAGAAACAGCGTCGGGGAAAGTACGGAGCCTTGTGGGACGCCAGCGTTTATGTCCATGCTTTCAGAGCAACTACCGTCTACGACGGCTCTTATGCGTCGGCCGGACAAAAAGCTACCAATCCATTTGCACAATCCCTCGGGCAGTCCGTATGATGGCAACTTCGTCAGAAGACTCCGGTGCCAGACCCTATCGAACGCCTTCGCTATATCTAGGCTAACTGCCAATGCCTCACCTTGACTTTCAATGGCCGAGGCCCAGCGATGTGTGAGATACACTAGAAGATCACCAGTCGAGCGACTGTGGCGAAAACCGTATTGACGGTCGCTGAGCAGGTCGTGCTCCTCTAGGTATCGAAGGAGCTTGGTGTTGATTACTCGCTCCATCACCTTGGAAAGAAGGGAGGTAATAGCGATAGGCCTGTAATTCGTCGGGTCTGTTCTATCGCCCTTTTTGGGCACCGGATGCACGTAGGCGGTCTTCCACGAAGACGGTACTTGCCTAGTGTGGTAAGAAAAAGCGAAAAGACGCGCTAGAACAGGGCACAATTCAGGAGCACACTGCTTTAGAACCACTGCCGGTATGCCGTCGGGCCCGCTCGACTTATGAACATCAAGACTTAGCAACTCCCGCCGAATGTCTCTTTGTGAGAAGCGAACCTCCGCCATAAAGTGGCCGCAATGCGGGATGGTAGGTGGTATGGTGCTTTCATCGACGTTCAAAGTCGAGTTAGAGGCAAAAAGAGTGCCTAACAGATCGGCTTTCTCCTTTGCACTGTGGGCCAGGTTGCCATCGGTATTTTGCAGTGGCGGTAAGGACGACTGACAGAAGTTACCCTCGGCAGCTTTGGCAAGTGACCAGAAAGCACGACTCCCAGAGGGATAGCCTGTTAGCTTCTTGCCAATTCTGCCGATGAAATCGAATTTTGCTCTGGCAATTTTTCTTTTCGTGGACCTTGAGGCAGCATTAAGTTCGCGTTTCACATCAGAAAGATCGGGATCGCGATTGTTACGAGCCGTGGTCCAAGCCCTGTACGCGACTTGCTTGAGTTGTCTAGCAATTTTACAGGACCTATTAAACCACGGTCGCTTCTTCGTCCCTGCAGCGACCAGCGAGTTTGGAATAAAGTTTTCCATACCCGCCAGTATAGCCTCAGAGACAGCAGCTGCGCAGGTGTCGGAATCCTCTGATGCGAAACAAAGCTGTCTCCACGGGTACGATGCGTAATACTCCCGCAATCCATCCCAGTCTGCTGACTTATACTGCCACATGCGCCGCAAGTTAGTTGGTCGAGGTGGATTCTGTCGTGCGCATGGTGCTAGAGTCCGGATAAGACAGTGGTCAGAAGATCCGAGTGGTGCATCCACTGATATGGAATATCCATCCGGACGTTGGGTCAGCAGAAGGTCCAATATGGAACTCGTATGGTTCTCAATGTCCGGTATTCTTGTTGGAGAATGTACCAGCTGTGAAAAACCATAGGCCAGAGCGAATTCGTGAGCACACCTCCCAGCGCAGTCAGTGGACCGAGAACTAAGCCATTCGGTGTGGTGGGCGTTGAAGTCTCCTAAGATCACTAACTCCGCAAAAGGGTATTGCTCAATAATTCTATCAGTCGTCAATTGCAAGTGCTCGAAAAGTCGTGTTGTTTCCCTGTCACCGCTATAAGACCTGTATAGGCACGCGTATATACGGGTGTGGCCGCCATAGTCTACGCGCACCCACAATATCGACAGGTCCCTGTCTTCAACATGGCGAAGACGCCGACAACAGACATCCTCCCGAACGTACAGACATACACCGGCACGTCTCAGAAAATTATGTTCGAGTTTGTAGCCAGGATAATTGAGGTACGATATATCGGCCGGGCAGGATATCTGCGTCTCCGTGAGAAAGAGTAGGGTCGGCTTCGCAGTCTCAAGGTGTTGGTGGACTGCGTTAAGATTTCCATGAAGTCCCCTAATGTTGCAATAGTCCACTTGGGTGGATAGAGGTGCCGCTGTAAATCGTGTTTTTTTGGTTTTCGTCTTCTTCATTTTATTTTTTATGGAGGGGTTTGAATAGGTTTGATGAGGATTTATTGTGTTGATAGTCTAGGAGACAAAATTGTAATGCCGACCTGCCACAGGCCAGCACAGGGGTGCAGTTTATCGACGCAGCGTACGAGAGGGCCCCCAGTCCCCCCCCACTGCAGAAGCCGGGTCCACTCCGGTCTCCTTCTCCGGCACGACGACTACAATAGGGATTTTTCACGGGTTGGCAGTTCAGCCTCCCAGGGCGGAGATAATGTGATCCCTGGGTTCGGGAACTCTACTGACCCGCGGGCGGCCAGCGACGAACCGTTTCACTGGGTCTCACTGACCGCTGCGTCCACACACCGCGCCTGCACTAACATGCGACCGCATCATTTGCTTCACCGGTCCCCCGCTATCAACACAAAAAATCCCCTGGAGAACTGGATACCTTACTTACCGCAGGAACACAACACTGCCGCAACAGTGTTATTTGGCTGCGGTCTTCTGTAAGGTGGAGGTCCTTCCCCAGTCGGGCTGCTCCAAATTGAGTGGGGTAAACCCACTGTGCCCTACCTCTCTTACTACAGTCTAGTGACTACAGTCTTCCCTAGCAATGGCAGCCATATTTAGGCCGCGGTTTCTAGTAGGTATGCACGCGTATTTTGTAGGTATTTCTGGTCCATATTATAGTAGGTCTGTGTACAGTACCTACAAAATTATAGTTGATTTAGTGCTAAGACTCTCGAGTAAATGACAAGTCGACTAAATGGGCTAATGTTTGGCAATAATTTTACCAGATAACTGTTTCAGTAAGTCGACAACGTTATTTATCATATATGCTGAGTTTATATACAAAGTAATTTCTCGTATGATTGATTACATTTAAAAAATCACACTTATTTATTAACTAAACATAAATATAAAAGTTTTGAAAGGGACGTCATGTGGACACTACATAAAACACTACCGCTTTTGTAGTCGTCCGTGTTACATCGGTTACATCTCAATCGATTAAAAAAATGCATTAAGGACATCACTAATAGGTGTTTTTCATAACAGTCCCCGATTGATTTGACAGGCAGTTTTACAGATTTTACAGCTGTGTTCGTAAATAAATGTAACGAAAATCGCGATCTCTTTGTTTTCACTTCGACACAAGAAGTTAATATTCGTTGTTTAAAGTCGATCATATTGTGATCACGATGCTGCGAGTTAAGATTCATATAGCAATAAGTGCTATAGGAGCCGTTTTGGGCTTGTCAGCATTTATATGTTTTTGCCTTGTTTATGCAAACATTGAAGCCGGAATGTGGGCACTATTATCTGGTAAGTGAAGCGAAATTTAACTTGGTATTTCCACAAAAACCTATCGCTTTAATGCCTACAATGTCACCGAAAAAATGAATCTGCAAAGAAAATTGTCTTTATGTGGGTAATAAATATTGATTATCCTCTTCTTGTCTGCAAGTCCTACAATTATAAAGAGAAAGCTAGATGACCTCGGATTGTTCCTTTGGTTGCTGATCTAAGTTGTATATAAATCCATTTTTATAACTCAAGGAAACTATTTAAAGAAATCACTACCAGAATTTGTTTATAATTTTCCTCTAATTTATTTTATAGTTATTTCCTTGTTACTTATTACTTAAACAAGTTCTAAGCTAAACGTAGAGTAGGCTTAGAACTAAAACAAGAATTATGCAAAAAAGAATAAAACTGAAAATTGAAGAAAGTAGTAAAACCTCCTTTCCAATATCCTAACATAATTTACAAAAAAATATTTTTTTATTGTCTATATTTTCACAGGTACTCATGCATCATTGGCTCTGATGCTGCATTGCCACTACCTCAAGGAGTCCCTACATGTAAACTTCTCTAGAAAAGCATTGCAGTACATTGGTGACTTTGGCATAGTAGGTTTTGTCTCTGGATTAGCACTGACTATGTTCTACCTTTTCTTGGAAATCTATTATAAAGCTGGTAAGTACACATTTACTATACAGTATGTATTATTATATCGAGGGGTAATGGACTATTTGGTTTAAGCGTCATTTTGGGCGATATTGAGTTATTATATATATTCGATGGAGAAAAATTCGCTTATTCCGTTACCCCTCGATATAATATTACTACATAGTAAACAGAAAAACACAGAATAAGTCACCAAACTTTATTTTAATATTATTTGAGTGAATAGAACATTTTTCGACTTGTCTTTTAATAGATGGGGATCTACTCTTTTAAAAATTTGTTTGCTTGCTTGCGTCTTAATTTTATTAACTTGACAGGAATTTACTATATTATTGTAAAAATAGGAACACTATTTCACTGAACAAAACAACTGCATCCAGATAATGGTAATTAAAATAAAATTAAAATGAGTAATCTCATCAGTCGAACTACAAATTTCAATAATTAATGGAGTTAATTAACATTGTAATAATGTGTGCAATTGTTGTGAAATGTGTTTCTAGATAAAGTGGACATTTCCAGCTCATTCTCTTATCACTGTTCACATATAAATACTAAACTATTTCTCTATGTTTTGTTTTTGAATACATTATATTTATCAAGATAATATGTAATGTATGTAAGTACGTTAATATTAATGAATTGTGAAATATAATCTTTACATTACATAACATCACACCCTTTATTCCCGAAGGGTAGGCAGAGGTGCACATTACGGCACTTAATGTGACTGTACAATGTAACATCCACTTTTCACTACTTATGTTATGAGTCCCATGTAATAGGGGGTAATCCTATTGCCATATACCAGGCACAATGCCAGACTACTACCCGAGACCCCTTGCCCCCCAGTCGCACTTGCAACCACTTTGCCAATGAGGCAGTCTATACTTAGTAATCTTTTTCAAATTAAAAATTATTAACTATTTATTTAATTTTGTTTTTTGGTTAATATGCCTAAAAATATTATAACAGGAAATAATACATATATTATTGTCTCATGTGTTTGATTGACAGCGACTAAGATTTTATAATACGCTCTTTGCTGCATACATATGTACTAAAAATTTTTTTCGAAAATTACCAGACAACCAGAATGATAAAACATTACATTATTTTGCAAATATGTTATTTTGTATAAATAACTAGTTGATATGGATACAATGACGCATAACTCTGATTAAGTTTACTAGCACTCATGACTAATTTGCGATTAAATGCGTCGCAAAAACAGGTACATATCTTTGTACCTACTTATATTGGTTCTAAAAATAGAAATTCTAAATTATTTACTTCCATCGTCATCATTTTGTCAGTCACTCGATGTCCAGTGAGTGCAATGCTGATGTGCTGAACATCAACCTCCCTAGTCACTTTACAGTTTACTTACCTACTATCTCTACTGCATATCCTTCGGGATTCTTCTACTGAGAGGAGAGAAGAATGTAGACCTACATTTATTTAACTGTGCTGTGACATATCTCGATAGTAGATCGATGATCGACGAAAATGTGAAATAAAATAATAACAAAATTTTGTAAAAATTTTTTTTAGATTTTTTTTAAATCTCAACATTTTGACCAATCTTAAATGAATGAATTTAGCTTGATTTGCGATAAGATGAAGCGATTGACTCCGAGTTTCCCCGACCGTTAGTCGCGCCCCCTCGAGACCTAACTTAAATATCAGCCCTATTGTATTATTTAGGTCATCACTACGATCAGTACCTAAAAAAAGACTTCGTGTAAAATCGTATACCTACATAAATATAAAAAAATATCTGTATCATAATATTATATTTAATAGAAGGTCTCACTAAGAATAGCTATTTCAGGGGTCCGGGAAGCTAGAGATGGGCACTGGGAAAAAACCCAATGGGAAAAAACCCAGGTTTTTCCCATTTGGGAAAAAACCCGGTTTTTATGTGGGAAAAAACCCAATAGGCGGGTATTTTCATTAAAATGATCTTATTCTATTTTTATTTTCAGAACTAAATAAATAGGTACTTTGTGATGCGCATATACATTCACTCAAAAAAGTATCGGGAATGGATGATTTGTTGATGGTTCCAAATTAAAATTTTTGTTTTTATGTAGTTGTTAGATTGGCACAACTGTTTTCCATTTTGGCGCGGAGTTTGAGTTGCATCTGTTATTTATACTAAATACAGCGCTGGTTTCAGAAATATCATATATAATGTATATTGTGAATTTCATAATGGACACAAATATCGATCAAAGAGTTTTTCTTACATTTTGCATCGCCAATGGAATTTCGTGTTCGGAGTCACTAAAAATGTTACAGAAAGCTTACGGTGAATCGACTTTATCAAAAACTCGTGCTTATGAGTGGTTCAAAGCGTTCAAAAGCGGTCGAGATGTGATGGAAGATTTGCCTCGCTCTGGTCTGCAACTGTAGTTAACATCGCAAAAGTGAAGGAAATTGTGACTGAAAATCCCCATTCAACTCTGAGAGAGATAGCCGCCGAACTTTCTGTATCTCACGAGTCGATCCGTACCATTTTAACTAATCTATACTATACATTAAAGGGTATGAAACATGTTGCTGCTCGACTAGTTCCAAAAGATCTAAATTTTCTCCAAAATCTCAATCGCATGAAAGTCGCTGAGGATATGCTAGAACGAGTCAGTTTGGACCCAACATTCATGAAACGCATTGTTACTGGTGACGAGACGTGGGTTTATGAGTTTGGCATGCAAACTAGTCAACAAGCTTCGGAGTGGCGCCTTCCAACTGAACCGAAACCGAAAAAACCACGCCAAAGTCGATCAAAAGTCAAAGTCATGTTGACTGTTTTCTTTGACTATCGCGCTGTTGTGCACTCTGAATTCTTACCGGAAGGTCTAACGGTAAATAAAGAATATTATTTGAGCTTTATGCGGCGTTGAAGAGAGCAAATTCTACGAAAAAGGCCAGATTTGTGGAAAGAAAATTCTTGGATTTTGCACCACGAGAAAGCGCCTTCGCACAAGGCTATCATTGGTGGCATCAAGGTGAACGAATTTTTGACCAAACACTCAACAAATACCATCCAGCAACCACCATATTCACCAGATATGGCTCCTGCTGACTTTTTTCTTTTTCCTAAACTCAAATTACCACTTCGTGGCACCCGTTTTCAATCGATAGAAGACGTAAAGGAGAATTCGCGGCGAGAACTAAACTCAATTCTGGAAGCAGCGTTTAAAAAATGTTTTGATGAATAGATTATTCGTTGGCGCAAGTGTATCGTCTCTAAAGGAGCATACTTTAACTCGTTGAGTACCGTCATTACAGACAATTAAAGAACAATAGGTTGCGGTCACCGGTGACAGTTTAAACTGTCAAACACCGACCGCTCGGTGTTTGACAGTTTAAAGGTGATAAAATAAATTTGGATGAATAACAGACATTTTTGTATTATTGATCTTTTCCCGGTACTTTCTTGACAGAGTAGTACTTAGCACCAGCGTGTATAAGGCACTAGCTGTTGTCTGTTATTTGAAACGTTAAAATGTGTAGTCTATTTCAAGGACTAAAACATAACCAGCATATTTATTATAACACCATAAAGACGTCTTCTTGTTTTATAATAAGTTTTTACTGCGCTCTGTGATGGAATGTTAACAGCAGAAAAAATACCTATTAAACTTTAAAGAATGTTTGACTAAAATAATATAATTAAAACAACGAGAGATACTCTTACTAACAATCATTTATTATACTTTACAAAAGTTACAAAACTGTAAATTTACCGGTAAATTTCGTTCGTAAAAAAAGTAGGTATCAAAGTCCGTAAGAGTAGCAGTTGTTGTCAATTCAAAGGATTAGGTAACCAAAAGTCCACCAAACAAAATCCAAGTCGTCAATTAAACCAACAAATTAACACGAGTGCGCACAGTATGAAGCCGAAACAACGTGTGAGATAGATAGATCACCAACGCGCTCGCCCCTCTACTACCTGCTTCCCTGCCCCTCTACCCGCTCACGTATTTTCGGGTTACCTGTCGCTAAGAGCGGAGGATCACACACAAACAGACAGGATTTTTGTTTAATTTCATTTTATTTCATTTGATAGTAGGTCCCTAAGGATATTAAGAACGTTATTACTGCAATATGAACATAAACAAAGTTAGATTAGCTCTAACTTGTAGTAATAGTTCTTAAATAGTACGTACTATATGATATGTACATAATCTACACATTATTTATTTGTTACATGTGTTAAATATGAAAAAACCCGAATATTTTCCCATTCGGGAATTTTCCCCGGGTTTTTTCCCGGTTTTTTCCCATATTCGGGTTTTTTCCGGGTAAAATCTCATCTCTACGGGAAGCGAACCTATCAATATTTACTTGAATCCACGCAGTAATTATTAATATTTAATTTAGGTCCCTATTTTGTCCGAAGTTTAAGATTTTCTGTCCGCCATACGAACTAAACCGATGAGGAAACTATATACAATTAATAAATATGATTTCATTCTAACTTTTCATCACTTTATTGTTGAAATTTTTGTTCTAGATGTGCTGCCAATCAAGACAAGTATCATGATCCGTCTTATCTGGTCATTCATGATGATGAAGTGGGGTCTGATGCTGTACCTGACCACTAAAAAATACCTGAGGACCTACAACGACCACCAGCTGTTCTCCGAAAACCCTCATATTGAGGAGACGTAATTATTTTACTGTTTGTTAGACAATTGCTTCGATCTAAGTGGTTTTGTTGGTATTATTTTTAAATTTCAAAATTTACGCTTCACTCACAATTGAAGGACACAAAAGGGTTAAGCTTGGGCGATCAATTGCTGTACCTAATTTTTTTCTCTAAGTTTTAGCTAATAGGTATATTTTTAGGCTGTGTTCAGTATCTCAAAGTATAGTCACAATATTAATAAGTCTGGGCTCCAATTCCCAAGCACAGTAATTCACAAATTATTAGAAAGATTATCAGTTTAGAATTTATTTACCTTTTATTTCGATTCTGCCAGTAAAATGTAGTTAGTGATATAGGATTTTTATCCCTAAAATATATCATTTAAAAAACGTTAAAGATCACAATCGTATAGCACACGAAAGCTGAGTTATTGCCTTTTGTCAGTGAAACCCTGATACAGCGAGATGGACAACCTACAGGCCAGGATGATGGGGAATCTACGTGGACCGTATGATAAGCAACAATCTGAAAATAGGTATACTAACTATTAAACGTGACTAGAAAACTTTTTCTTCATAAAAAAATCGAATACCAAAGGGAATTAAAAATCTCAGATAAATGTTATGAAATGTTACTTTAAAAAAAAACATTTTATTTTCTATTCTAACCTGTCATCTTTTTAATAACAAATTTTTGTTTAGGTCGTAAGTTTTTAAAATGTTATATTAAAAATAAATCTCAATCCTAAAAGCCAATTAATATAATATTTCTTAATAATCTATTTTGCGTGATAAAATATCTCAAAATTCAAAGAAAAAATACGTCGACGGACGATCCGCCAAATTTTTATATAATATTTTTATAATAGATAAGTACTGTTTTTTTTTTGTTTATTTTAATGTCTCTAAATAGTTCTTAATATTAAAATAGGTACATATCAAAATAATGATTATTAAGTAAAAAAAAATATTGAAAGTCTTGTTCTTTTTTCAAGGTTTTTTTTCAAATACAGCGAAACCACTTAGATATAAACTATACTACGGATACTTATACATTACTATTATTCATATTATTTTTGTGATACTGTAGTGACCTTTTATTGACTGAATTATAAAAAAATATTGTCGAATTTAGGCCAACTTATGACTGAAATTTTCTATGTATTGGCTCTCATTTCTGTTCATTTATTCATTCATTCAAGATCACTGCATGAATAGGTATATTTTGTCTTCATAGAACTCTACGATAGTGTTACATTTTTCTTTTCTCTATACATATTTTATGACTGTTTATGCGTTATCGTTGTCAAACTGTTACTTTAAACCTATTTACATTATCTATTTCTTGTTATCACTTCTTATCATTGTACTGACTGACTGTCTCTTATTTTCTTATGATTTATTACATTCTTCATTCATCTGTTCTGTACCATATCTACATAATACTTTACTTTTTAGGTAAACGTTAAATTGAAAAATAAACATACCACTAATATAAATTGTAGACGTTTTAAATATTAAATAAGCACTCATATATTATAATCTACTTGAACATTTTATAAAATTACAGTAGTGCTATATCCAGTTTAATGTTACGGTATATATTTGGGTAAAAACATATAAATAGATACTTATTATGTTGTCGTTATATTTATTAAAAACCAGTTATTAACTGTAGTTAAGATTTAGTGTCCTAATAAGTTAAAGTTTGCGGTGTCTATGCTATTGAAATGATTATTGTCAAATGTAGGTAAGACTTAATAAAACTGTTTTTTAATTACTTTTTTTATTGAATCCCGGAATCTGGACCGTCGTGATTGCCTGACAGGTGGCCAAGCTGAGCTTATAAGCTGTGCCCGAACGTTACCGCTAAGATGGGGGGAGTTCGGATTTGAAAGAAGCAGTCAGTTCATAGAGGTGCGCGCGCAGCGCTAGCCGTTGGAACGCATTCCGTTGCCGCGAACCGTTTTCAAACGCGCGCGCGTAATATGATCGACAATAAAAATTAAATCCCGGTCACTGATGAAATTTTCAAACAGATAAATTATTTTATTTTTAAAACAAATCTGTGTTGTGCGAAACGTTGATGTGGATGCAAGGGATTCAGCAACATTAACTTAAGTAGTGGTAAGTAAAACAGGATTTCTACACTTATTAGGTACTAACTTTACGCCTAGGACGTCGAAGAACATGTTCAGTATTTAGCCCTGTGGTCCTAATAATAATTTGTCCGTGCCTTTAAGTGACCACATCCGTATTCCTTTATAAAAACTGCTAGAATTTTCCTTCTTTAGCTATAAAAGCGGAGGGTATTTTTATTAAAATTCCAAGTCAGTATTAGTTCCAGTTTCTGAGCTAGGAATTCTAAATTCGAATTGGCGTTCCATTTACATACGGAGCGGGTTAACGCACTTTCCAAATGAATTGCGTTTTAGGTTTTATTGTTAAGATTTATTTTTAAGATTTTTATTTCATAATATTTTTGTTCTACGACCACTACGGCAAGTAATACCTACCTTTTTAATTGATTTTAATTTTCTAGTTTGCAAGTTAAATTCATCCCTGATTACTTAATCTAAGCAATGTAACTTGTGAGAATGTTATCACCACCAACCAATGAACACTGCACGATCTCATCAATATTAAATTGCTTACTGATTTAATCCTAAGATTAAGTCGTTATCCACCAGTTTTAACCAAATACATGATGCGTAGGCAGATCTAGGTGCACAGGTAATTAATTTATTTACATAAACAGTCATTTTATCTGTGTTCTTTGCCCACGACGTTCCCAAGTTATAAAATGTTATAAAGGTGGTAGTTAGTCCACTCGTTATTTCAGCTAAAGCGGCAATCTCCTATTAGTGAACTATTAAACTAACGTTATATTATGAGAATTGTTTATCGGTTGTACATCTCAGTCCAACTTTTACTACTGCAGATTGCAGTAACCATAAATAAAAGAATAGGGCTTGTGCTGCTGTCATGTAGTTTATTCTTTTTTCTGACATGCTCTGTTATTAGTAGGTACAGTATGAAAAAAGAAAATCAGAATACATTGCGTTTTATGCTTTTACTTGGAGTGTAGCCATAAATATTTCATAGTCCATTGTATGGGAGGCTTTTTGAAAAAAGAAGGTTTGCAGACGTCATTGACAGCGCGCAAAAATATTGCGTCTTTTTCTTTGAAGGATTAGATAAGCACGTCTTGGAATTTTGGTTATAGGTCGGTAGGTCTGTACCTATTTTCTTAAATTTCCATGCAGAGTGAGCTACATTAAGATATTAAAAAACTTAATAAACTTCCCTGAATCCATATAAACATGATATGATTCTAAGACCTCGTCTTAACTCGTCGAGTACCGTCATTATAGACACAATTATAGAACAATAGGTTGCGGTCACTGGTGACCGCTTGGTGTTTGACAGTTTAAACTACTAGACGAGGCAGTCAAAAAGATTGTATCGTAAACAAACTTTGGCGAAAGTTATGTAGTTATTGAATGTTTAAGTTTTTTGCGCGGTATAATATTACAAAGCTGGGCTTTTCAATTTTGTTCTGTTACGCTACACCGCTTTTTCGTGAGCATACAAATACACCATGAAAGTAAGAATGAGTGAAAAACTTTTTTCAATTTGGAAAGTGATAATTCCGACCTGCATTGAAATGATGGGCGTTTAATGTGTCCAAGTATAAGTGGTGTATAGTAGAGAGCGGTTCATAGATATCAGTAGGACAATTGAAATGAATCTCGATGTTTTTGATGAGAGTTCTGAGTTTTATTGTTAGGTAGGTACTTGTGATATTATCAACTTCGTATAAATAGGAGCTGACTTGGATAACATTCAAGGGTCCTCGATTAGTTTTTCGGTTCGTACCTAACGTTGGATTTTTAGATGTTTGACATTTTAAAATAAGATAGCATTTAGCAGGAATCTGGAGAAATATCTGAAAAAGGGCTAAGTAGGACTTAACTCACCTCTACCTAAGCATCCTTCCGCAAAATAAACATGCCTACGCAACAACATCTCGAACTTGAGTTGTCTAAGATCACTTTACCAAGATATTCTAGGCAACGTGTTTCTAAAGGGTCTCATTACGCTTAGATAGCCCCCGTATAGTTCAGTTCACTGCCCAGATAATAAAAGATACCAATAATGCACTTTACTTATAAAAGGTGTTAAACTAAAACCAGCCAATCGTGAACGAGGTGATTGTACCTACAGCTACAGACTCTAGTTAAAAACAACTAAAATGATTAACTCAAGTCTCAGATTTATCGAGTCTTTTGTCTTTGGCGAAGATCAGGAAAAAAGTGGTTTGCTTTTTTAGACTGAGTTCTTGCCTTGGGTACGGACTCGAGATAAAGTCAATTCTAGATTTATGGTAGTCTATTTTTGTGCCTAGATTATTAATAAATTGTTAACAAGATTTATTATAATCTGTAGGGTGTGGGTGGAACAGCTTTGTAACATTGTAAGTATCTATAAAATCAGTGATGTTTTATGCGATGCTTAGTATCAAAAATAAAATATTACCCATTACCTATTAAAAATTTTTATAGCTTCCTAAAAATGAAGAAAGATTGAAGATATGTTACTTTCAGACGTTTCTTAAAGAGAATAGAATCTCGCTATCCCATAAAAACCCCGTAACGATGAATACTATAACCCTCCTTTTGCTTTGCCGTAGTTGGGTAATAAAAGAACGCAATTTCAACGAGAATCTGTATTTATACCAGCCGAGATGCATCAAATTCCTTTAATAACGTAATCAATTTTTATCACGGTGCAAGAGTACCTACCTAAAGATGAGCCAAATTAGGAACCTATCTATTGGTATTCTACCTACTACTATGTCAAAAGCCTTTAATCTCTTAACTGCGGCATATGAGATACAATAGAAAACACATTGTGTTCCATGTACGTAACGTTTCGGTATACCATGGGTTAGCGCGGGGCCTGCGGACGGCGAGCATGTGTGGCTGGTGGTGGCTCCCCGTCCAACCAGAAACAGACCCGAGATGACCCCACCACGGATGGGGCCCAACCGGGCTGATTGCCGATTCGGAGTCGCGGAGAACGGGTTACCGGGGCTCCGGCTCGAAGCGCAGGAAAAGGAACGGGGTGGTTTTTAGTCATTAAGAGTCTGACACTCCCTCCCGCCTCACCCAGGCGGGAGCAGTCATTCGATGATTGTCCACATTAAAAAAAAAATACCATGATGGGTTAATAGTGTTTTAAAGTTTGACACATGAACCATGATTTGACAAACTGCCAGATGATGATGCCAGCATATTAAGTTTGGTAGCTTGATGCTTTACTTTGGCATCTTACAAAATATTAGACGAAGACATCTTAAGACGCTGTTTTTCACAATCATTAGCAATGCAATCAGAAGTGCTAAATGCAAAGATATATTAGCGAAGCCTTAGCTTACCTATATTAAGTACTGAAGTGCTAAGAAAATCTAAATACTAAGATGTAAATCTAACACTAGCTATTTCATGATTCGTTAACAGTGTTTCCTGGTTGTAAATACTTCTCTTGCTTTTGTAGACCTTCCATCGATTTATAAGTATTCAATAGACTTGGAGTAATTTCTTAATTAACACATCAACTGTACTTACATAATTGCTATCTAGGTATGTGTATTGTGATTTATATCTCCTGTATCTACCTATTGGCAATTAGCGTGGCCCATGATCGCGATGATAAATTGTCTTACATAGGTAGGTACTGCCTACCTAGGTGCCTGCCGTTGATTTCGTTCATTGAACTGGGACTTTGTGGAAACAGAGCTTTGACAAATTCTTTACTATACCGCATAAAAGGGACTCTAGGACATTGCAATCTGGATAGGTGGATCTGGTAGATAGATTCTTACTATGTCAGATTTTTAATCCGGGTTGAAAATCAAAATGGAGCGAAACCTACATCCGATGTTTGTAACTATAATTTTTTTTTCATGAAATAGGAGGCAAACGAGCAGACGGATCAGGTGATGGTAAGCGACCTGAACACTAGAGGAGTCACAGGTGCGTTGCCGGCCTTTTAAAAAGGAATAGGCTCTTTTCTTGAAGGTTTGATGGCCGTATCGGTTCGGGAATACCGCCGACGACAGATCATTTCACAGTTTTGCTGTGCGAGGCAGAAAGCTACGTGAGAAGCGCACAGTTGTGGCCTGCCAACCATCTATGTATATGATGGGGATGGATATGCTGTCGTGAGGGTCGATGGCTACAATACTGTCTAGAAAAAAATACATAGGTATATTTTACCAACGCCTTCGAAGAAAACAGGACAGATGTTATGGGAAAGTTCTGGAATCGCGAATGCATAATATCTTGCGTGTGTTCGTGAATGGGGCTCCGATTAGGCAGATTAACGACCTACGAAGATCGCGGGAATTCTGTAGGGATGCGAAAGGCAAAGCTTGGGAGAGATGTGTCTTGTATCTAGTTAAATGGATATTAGATATAATTTGAATCAAGTTTTGACTAGTGTAAGTACCAAGTTTAAACTGTGCAACTTGTTTTTGGTAAATTTAAATAAATATTAGGTACGTATAATTATAGTGACTGAATAGGGTTATTCTCAAATAACATTAGAATAACGAAAACGATAATTAATTCCTACGATCAGCCTTCTGTAATATGTTAAGTTACCGATCATAATAAAATATTTTTCACTTCGTGAACGAGAGCTAAAACATCAGTAATTTTGGCAGGCCCCTCATGTTCCAAAGCCTAGTCTGGTTTCGACAAATTGTCTAATTAATCAAACTTAAAGAACCGTAGGTGTTAATCTCGTTCTATCTTCGAAACATCTGTTATATCATGGTCCGCGTAATTCAGTAATTAGATGCTCTCAACCAACATAATGTTTATAATACACACTTATGAGATGTTGCTCTTGGTATGCACCAATTAACGGGTTTAAGTGGTTACTTAATCCAGTTATTATTCGCTAGCTGGTATTTGTTGTTAAGATAATATTTTCTTCTCGATTTTTAGTATGTGATATGCTTAGAAATTATAATAAATGTGCTAAGTAAGTTTACATAGTCACAAACATCTGTGCGATTAAAATTAACTCTAATTGCCACCACTGTAGATTAAGTAGAA